TGACCAACAGGGCCTACGGCAGGTAATCCCTCCAGCATGTCCATTCTATAATGTCTACAACTGTACATGGGCAAGCCACTCAGTGACAAGACTAGCCCAAGGAAATAATGATTTTTGCTTTTGAGAATTGTAGAACTGAGAAGATCTCACGACCAGGCAATTTGGATCAGATGTACATCATTTGGCCAGAAACTTCCACTTGTGAAAGGTACCCACCAGTCTCTTTGATCACCCATTTCCTACATAAGCAGCCTCTGAGTGAGCTTCTAGGAAAACATTCTTGCCATCTTTTTATCAAACAGCTTATCATCATGAAGCTCTTTTCTGCTATGTCCATGCCCTCAACTAATTTGCTTCCATTTTGTGGCAAGCAGGGCTGGAATTTTGTGCAGTAACATTAGGATAATGACTGTGGACAGTTTTACACACAACATGCACTGCAATATTTATCATAGAAGAATATTATTTAAATAGGATAGGGGCTTTGTTAATATGGTGCATTTGTATAATAGTTTTATATTAGCTATTTATGAAGCATTTCATATAGTTTGAGTACATCATACAAAATCAGTAAAGAGAGGATTTTTCTCTAAGTTGTTATACACCAAACACATGAACAATAAAAACAAAAGGGTAGATGGAAATAGCCCTTAGTGGTTTGTGTGTGTGTGTGATGGTAGAATTTGGAGACTAAATTGCAAAAATACACACACTTGTTTTTGTTTCCTACAAGTTACACTTTAACAAAAAAAATTTTTTCCCCTTGACATCTGGCTAACTAGCAATCTTCGTGGAACTGAGGAGTATAGACTATCCAAAAAATTTCTGTCTTTGCTTTTGGCAAACAGTGATGGCCTCTTTCCTTACAACTTCTATAGTAATTCAGTTCCCCAGGAGTTTACACCTGCTTTCTTCTGCATCTGAAAGAGTTATAATTTTTATTGAAAATAAGGGTAGGACTAAATTATTGAGAGACCTTATCTTACTAGATGGCATATTGAAAGACGGGTTAAGTAAATGCATTCTAACCGTTCTCTCTATATATATATTTTAGAAAGACACATTGAGGAGATTAAAGCTATTGCTACCAATCTTATCAGCCATGATTGCAGCTTCATGGAGTGTATTGTACATTATCTATTCAGAACAATACAATCAAGTTAGCTTCTTCCTCTTTAAAAGAATAATATATTAACATCCCAGAAGACTAACATCTACTTGGAAAAATGTGCTCTGTGTGGTTTCAGAGTTTTTCACAGCAAGGACTTTCCAAAATGCAAAACAATTTTTAGAAAATATATTATACTGAAATTGAAGTTTTCATGGATGCTAGACATAATGAAAGTGCAAATATTGTGGGATAAAGGAAGTACCGTGGTGCAGTCTTTGGAAACTTTTCCTCAGTAGTTTTTTTTAAAATCTCTGTTTTGGGCTCATTTGATGCTTCCTAGAGACAGCACAAGACATTATTTAGCCTACTTGCCCCCCCCCCCAGAATAGCTATTAAAGGAAAGGCAAAGTCAATTGCTCCTGGGTAATTTTCTTCTCTTGAATAAAAGATAGCAGACCTCTTAAGGGTATGACTTGGCAGTAGCAAAGATATCATTCATCACTAACTCAATGGGCCAAAAGGCATCTTTTTGCTTATTCCAGCCCCCTTCCTTCTTTGCAATGTGCTTATTCTTTACAGAGAAGGAAAACACAATAAAAATAGTTCTTTGAATGATTTTTGTTAGTTATCTGAAAGCCCTTCAATTTTTGTAATTAGTGTCACCCAATTATGTTGAAGACTATAGGTCTAGGAAAGGCCTTCATCTTCACAATCCAAGTCAAAATCTCTTCTGTGTCTACTTGTGTTTGAATTAATGGGATACCAAGAAATATAAAAAAATTGAATTTAATGACTAAAACAATTAAGACTTGTTAGCCCCTGAATTAGAAAAACCTACTGAAATATTTCCAGAAGTAAAATTTGTTAATCACAAATTCACCCTTATCTGATATTTGGATCACCAAAGTCAAGCCTGTACAATTCTGTATGTTCACAGTCCTTTTGTCACTTTGAAAACACTCATGTAGGAATTCTTATTTTGCAACTGAGGAAATAGGTTTGGGGAGATTAGATAATATTTCCTAAGTTACAGGATTCATTAGGTTGGACACAAAAAAGAAAGTATCAAGTTAGGGGAGAAATAAAAATTCAACCCTTATTTGTACAGTGACTGCAGAAAGATGTGTTATGTTTCACTTTTTTAAATGTTATATTCAAGCCTTAATTACTAATGCAGGTAAGACAGATTCCTTCAGCCTCCAGTCTCCCTAAGTACTGGGCGTGTGGGGGCACTGCATCTGAGCCTTGTAAGATAGCTGTGTATGGAGGTAAACAAAAACACATTTTTTCCCCTGCCCTTGGTCTCTTGAATTCTACATCCAGAAAAAAATAACATATAATTGGTTATTTTCATCTACTCTTGCTGTTGTGCATTTGTTTGATGTATAATAACTAATGAAAGAATACTGTCTCACTATAAACTTCCACTTTATCATTGTTGTAGTAAGGGTTTGCGAGGGAATAATACAGGACACATAATTTATAGGATTATTTTATAATAGTCACCCAAAGAGTCAAATGCAGAAGAGTACCAGAAATCTGTCCACACACTAGAGACCTCAAGAATCCAGCTGAGTGTCTGAATCCCAGGGCAAAGTCCTGCATGAGTCCAGCTGAAGACCTAGAGCCCATAGCAATGTCCTACATGAGTTCATTTGGTGGCCTACAGCCCCTGACAATGTCTCATGCAAGTCTGTATCAGGGATCTGCACTGGGAAGATCCAAAGATCAGTGGTGGAAGCTAGAAAATCTGCACCAGTGGAATGAAGGATCTGTGCCAGCAGGCTGGGAATCTGCACTGGAGCTAAGAAGCAACACGAAAGGTAAGGACAAGAGTCTGTAGCCATCCTTAGCAACACCAAGAACCTAAGTTCCTCTGATGATAAAGCTAAGTTCATATTAGGAAAGCTAGCATGGCAAGTTTTTCCAGGAGAATCTACAGCACCATCTCTTCCCCTCCAGTTCTCCTTTTATGCTGTTTGCAACGTCTCAGGCGGGCCTTTTGTACCTAGCACCATGCTGATTCCGTTCAGCAGGGTGTTACACATCGACCATTAGATAATCCACCACAATCAAGAAACATCATAAATGTGTAAGTGTGCTATATTAACAAGTCCTCTGAGATACTATTCACATATTGTAGTAAATACTGCCTATAAAACTGGCCATATCTCATTATCCTAATTTCTTTCTTTCTTTTTTTGGTCTTTCTGAGACAGCATCTCACTATGAAGTTCAGGCTAGCCTTAAATTCATATTGTAGCCCAGGCTGGCCTTGAACTCATAGAGTTCTTTCTGCCTCAGCCTCCCAAGTGCTAGGGTTATGGGCATGTGCCATAATGCCCAGCCATTATCCTAATTTCTACAAATAGAGTTATAGTCGGAAGGGTCTAAGCATTTTTAGTATTCATTTTTCTACTGACCTGTATGTAGTCTTTGTTTGTCTTTCCTTTACAATGGGGGAGTTTATCATTTCATTTTGCCTTGACTGTAATACTGACAGCCTAAATTAAAAAAGCAAACAGCTGAGCACATGCCTGTAATCCCAGCTCTCTGGAAGTTGAGGCAGGAGGATTTCTACCAGTTTGAGGCGAACCAGGGACACACAGTGAGTTCAAGGCCAGTCTGAACTGTATAGCTAGGCCCTGTCTCAAAACAACAACAACAACCTCCCCCCCCCAAAACACACAAAAAACCCACTAAATGCTCTTTTCTAGCTTGTCTGATTCAGACTTTTTCTTCTCAATTGTAACACAATACTGAAATCCCACTGCTTATTTCTGAGTTATTCACCAGGAAACGCAGAAGTCTTAAATCCATCTGCTTATTTTTTTTTCCCTCTAAATAAGGTGGGGATCAAGAGAAGTAAGAAGTAAGCCGGATGTGGTGGTGGTGCACGCAGGTAATACCAGCACTCAGCAGGCTGAGGAAGGAGGATCACTGCAAGTTCCAGACTAGCCTGGGCTAGAAAGTTAGCTCAGGGTCAGCCTGAACCGCAGAGTGAGACCCCCGTCTCAAAAATCCCAGAGAGAGAGAGAGAGAGAGAGAGAGAGAGAGAGAGAGAGAGAAAGAGAGAGAAAGAGCGAGCCCTATCTGGAGGAAGGGGAGGAAAAGGGGATGAGAAAAAGAACGAATGTATTATGCACATGTACTAACTCCACACAAGGCTGTAAACATTATGTACTGCAAACATGTACTAATAAAAAAACCCTAAAAATCAAAAAAGAGAGAGGAAGGTCACAACTATTGTACTACTTGAGTCCTTTCACATTGCTTATTTTATTATTTTATTCATAGGTGTTGGGTTTGTTCTGAGTGTTAACTGGACTCAACGATCAGCCTCTCTTTTCTAAGTTTGGGGAGGGCAACTTTCACTTGAAGGAAAGTGATTTCATATGGCCTCAGGCTGTGAGAGGACAGCCAGCTAAAACTGCCTTAGGTGATGAACGTGGGGAATCTTTCTGTCTCCACGTAGTGCACAGGCTGCCTGCTCAGAGTACACTTCTTCACATCCCTCGTTCAGGCGGTGCAGGCTCGATCTTTTGGGAAAGATTCGGGGTAGAGATGGTGAGTTGTGGTGGCTGCTACACCTCCCACAGAAAAGTGCTCGCTTCCTACTTACACTTTTCTGTGTGTGTTTGTGGGGGGGTATACAGACATCAAAGCTTCGCTAGCTCTAGAGTGGGAGTGCATGCTCCCGTTTTCCCCAAAAGGGAGGCTGTAGAAGTACGCAGAACTCAGTCCTCGCCAGCCTAAGCCGATGTTCCGTTCTCCCGCTTTGCTCCTTCGCTCTTCCGCCCGCGCCGCCGCCCCTCCCCTTCCACACAGGAACAAGCTCCCGGTGCTCTCCCGCGCTTCTCTTCTACAGTCCTCAGGAGCTTGCCTTTTATAATGGCCACAGCCAATGAGCGTTCCTCTTTTCTTCTGCCCGCCCCCCCTGGCCAATCACCGCCTCCTTTGTGTAACCTTCGGCTCCTCGGCAGCTCTCGGCTATTTTCGTTGTTGCTGGCTTTTTCAGGAGCTGCTCGCTTGCAGCCTGAGACGCTGCTTTTTTTCCGGGTTCGGAGCCGTTCCGGATGCTTTAGGTTGCCGGATGTCTGATCTCCGGATAACTGAGGCGTTTCTGTACATGGATTATCTGGTAGGTGCAGGACAGGGGAGGGGTGTCTCTTTTTGGATCGCATGGTGCCCGATGGCTCCCTGCCTATAGGAGCAGCCTTTTTGCTTTTTCTTTCTTTGGGATGGGATGGCTTTGGGGTTCTTTCTCCAGCGGCCAGCTCCGGAGCTGTGCTCGGGACTCGGAGGAGCAGCAGCCAGGGAGGCTGGGTGGTGGGGCTGACAGGTAAAGGCGCGGCCCGAGCCAGTGGGGCTGTAGCGAGGGTCGCGCGGCGCTGCCTGGGGATGGGGCCGCGGCGGAGCGTCCCCTGCCCGCGGCCGGCTCCCGAGCTTCGCTCTGCGCACCCCGCAGAGGACTTTCCTTCCCGGGAAGCTGGAGTTTTCCCTTCTCCCCTGAGCAGAACTCCAGGTACTATTAAAGAGCCATAATCAGAATGGCTTGCTAAGTGCTCGGCAGCTTCGGTCATTTGGTTGTTATTAGATCTCTAAAGCTTTGACCTCCTTAGGTCGCGGCGGGATTTTAAAAGCACATTACCGTAAACTAGACCGGACCAAACTACGCTGTAACCCGCAGGAGCTGGATTGGGTAGGGCAGGCATTGCCCCACGGGGCCGATCGTGGTGCTAGTTGCAGTTGCCCTGTGTACAGATTAGAACCCAGTTTAGGCCAGGCTGTGCTAAGAAGTTGCGGTGGGAAAAGTGTCAGCACACTGCGGGGACTACCATTGTTGTAAAAATTGACTTGGGCGTGCGGTTGTGGAATTATGCAAGCACTGTGTTTTGTTCCAGAAATTATATTTCCCCAGAGCTCTCTATTTGTGGTCAGGCAGATCCTTATTTACACGAGTTGTGTTCGACCCTATACAATTACTGTGTTAACGGTGCTAAGCTGAACTGCTATTGCTGTGGCAAACTGAAGTAGATTGTTGGAAACAGTGACCCTCCTGTCATCTTGTTGGACACATGTACTCGGTTTTCGACTGCAGATTGACCTGGCAGAGATCTGCCAATGCCTTCTAGGAATTACACTTAAAGAGAAAGACGGTGAACGCTTTTGTGGTCAAGAAAATTGGGCAAGGTCTAGTTTTCATTGTTAACTGTGTATTTGGCGTTATTTTAACATACTTGAGTAAAATGTTTCTCCTAAAACTTCATTGCTTGATGAACTTGGGAAGGATGTGACTGCAGTTATGCATGACCTAGTAAGTAGAGCTGTTAAAAATTCTGCTTTCAAGCTCTTTTGTTAATTTTTTGATGATAGTAACTTCTTTTATCTTCATGAGGTAGGGATGCTGTCCACCCACTCACTACTGTAGCTGGTTGAGAGGGTTAATCTATTTATGAAACTAATTTAAGATACCAGGTTCCCTGTAGGGTTAAGACAGTCCAGAAGATTATTTTCAAAATTAAATGATTAAATTGTAAACCAGGTGCGGTGGCACACATCTATAATCCCAGTACTCAGGAAGCTGAAACAGGAGGGTCATTGCAAGTTTAAGGCCAGCCTGAACTGCATTGGGAGATCATTTCTCAAAAAGACAAAACCACAGCAAAAGATTAAGTGGTATAGTCTTATAGAGTATGTCTTTTCTTTGCAGTTTGCCCAAGTTAAAGCCAAAGTTTGTTGGAGATATTCCCAAATAGGAAAGTGTGACATTTCCTATACTACTTTACTCAAAGCTAATTTTGGATATTTAACTAAGCAGTTCTTACAAAAAAAATTCAGGTAGTTTAAAAAAAATTTTTTAGTGTGTTTTAAACTTGCAAATTGTATCAAAAAACTGCCTTTGAGGTGCCAAACCTATTATAGCATTTAGAGAAAATAATACTGAAACCTCTTATTCAGGTTATTCTCCAACTAGACCTAGTCCAAGTGTAAGCAGATATGTGTTTATGTGCTCAAGGTTACCCTAAGAGCAAGTTAGTATCTTTTCCAGTTTACTAATAGCTTTATGTCAAAATTAGTGGGTCACCATTTTGACTTTGTATTTTAATTTTACCTGCCATGTCCCTTCACCCTAGTTTTGCTCTAGTATAAAACATCATTATTTTGTCATTTTTACCATGCTTTTAAAAATTCACCAGTGCAGTGAAATAACCTCATAAAAATCAATGACCACTCTTTGGAGGTGAAAAAAAAATCTTAAAGGAAGCAGTTTAGCTTTCAGAGTGTGCTAGATTTCTTAAATGTTTGTGCAACGTTTATGAAAGATCCTTTACCAAGCCTGGTGTGATGGCGCATGGCTGTAATCCCAGCATTTGGGAGGCTGAAGCAGGCTATTAGTTCAAGGTCAACCTGGACTACGTAAGCTAGCTAGTCCAAGGCCAGCCTGCGAGACATAATGAGACCCTGTCTCCAAAAAATCAAAGCAAAAACAAAAAATCCTTCATCATTAAGTGGACTAGGGAAAAAAAATTCCAAAAACAAGGATCAGCCCTCTTGAGGTGATTTTTATTATGTTGTTTTTGCTTGTCAACTTTCATGAAAAAATGATGTGCCATATCATTCCTTTCTTTCTGCCTTTCAGATTGACTTGTTTGCTTATGTACAATCTTTTTGTGGTGTTTATTAAAAACTCTATTTAAAAATAAAATTGAATTTTTTGGACTATATTTTTAAAGCTAATCAATTCTCAGATTTTTTTACTTACCCAGCTGAAAAGCAAATTCTCCTTTCATTCCAAGTTAGAGTCCAGATTTTGCTGAGTCGCTTGGAGTAAGTGTCCTATCCAAGTACTTGAAAGAGTAATGGTGTATGTCATCTCTTCTTTTTAATTGTCATTCAACCGTTTTCTTGTTACTGTTGGAAGAGAGCAGTGTGTGTGAATGTATTGTCTGTTGCTCTGGCAGGCCCTGATGTCTTACTGATCTTTCTTATTTGGAAAGAGTAGGATGAAAAAAAGAGAAAGGTAGAAAATAGCTTTTGGTTGGATTGAGATAATAAAACAGGTGAAGAAGCTCTCTGATTTTGGAGATTTCTGTTAATGTCTTAAAAGACATTGTATTTGAGATGACAGCTGAGGTAAAGGGTAGGCGATAGTACCTTAATATTTAAGATAGGCTTTTATTGACTTCAGTTTAGGGTAATATATTACCTTGCAAATCCTAAATAATTATATATACCACCTGGTGTAGTACCTCTCTTGGTTTCTGGCACAGAGGGCCTGATATTTATTTGCTGAATCTAATGAGTATGAGAAGGGAGAGGAATTCCCCTTTGTTCACTGGCTTTTAAACTGAGACAAGATACTATCTGTTTGGATTAGGTATTTTGTTCTGAGGAATGCAGAATGTATCCTTTATACATGAAGATTACCAAGATACAATTTGTTTAGCTAGGTTGGCAGTTGAAACAGAAATCTGTTTTCTAGCTGATATGGGTTTTTTCCTAGGAGGCTACTCATCCTTTTTCCTCCCTTTGATGCTAGAGTTTACAGGCTGTGTTCACATCTGCAAGGTCTATGGGTAAAAGACCTGGGCGTCAACAGGTGGTACCAGCATCTTTCTTCGTACTGTCTTCTGACAGGTACAACTTCAGTAGTATGGCAATATGCATAACTTTCTGAATAAGAAAGAAGAGAATAGGCAAACTTTAACAAAAGAAAAAAGCATGTTTGCTAGACTTTTCTGGGAGGTTGGACAACAAGATTCCTTTCAGTGTAAAATTTTATTTTTATATAAGCACCTACATGTTGTCTGGTCTAGATTTCATCTATTTCCCCCTCTATTATCAAAACAACAGCAGTAGAATTGGTTGTATTCCATATAATATCAATGATGATTAAATGAGAAAGCAAAGGGAAAGTTTTTTGGTTTGGTTTGTCACAGTGGTTTTAAGCTATAAGATGTTAAAGTGTGCCGATGTGGCTGATTTGTGTGTAATGACTATTACTTCTTAATGGTAAGAACTGAATTTTTTAAAACTAATCTAAATATATGGAAAGATTGGGAGTAGTAAAGCAAATAGGAATCATAAAACTTCTGATGACCATTTAATACCTGTAGAAATAAAACCACATTCTGCTGTTTTCATGAACCCATTCAACAGTATGTATGAAAACCCTATATTGTGCATTGTCCTGAAAGTCATGGAGGTTAAGGTGTGATGTCCTTGGCTGCAGGACTGGCAGGCTCTTGGGAAGCCTGTGGCAGAAGAGGGTGAAGAAGGAAAGGAGGGGAGGAGGCAGCTTTTAATATTCCTTTTCTAGTTCATTTCTCTTTTATAAATCTCTTTGTTTGATTGCAAGCTAAAATATAAAGATAGGCTTGCAAACATGAGAAGTAAAATGCTAGCTTAATCTTGGGTGCTAATTGTTAGTTAATATTCATTGCATTTGAATATTGTTTAGGATTTAATAAAGTTAATAAATTAGTGAGAGTTCTTGGTATTGATTAGTAAATCTGGCCTACTTTCTTGGTCACAGGCCACATCTGTTGTTAAAAATTTGTATTTCAGTAGGGAAGATCTAGTGAGAGACTTGGATGAATCGTCACAAATGAACTGACAGCATAAAACCAGTTAATCAACCAACCAAGAACAGAAACTAATGATTCACTACAAAGGACAGAGACCACAGGTACTACAAGATTGTAAAGATGCCCACTTGAAAAAAAGGAACATTTGTGATTTTTATAAGATGCTCAGTTATCTGTGAACTGTACGTTTATTTTGATAAAAAGTATGCCGTTTTAACCTTGAGTGACTATAGAAACTACAAGTTGTATTTTTTTATGACTGACTATAAAGTAACTGGGTCAAACCATTTGTAGTCTTAATGTCAACTGAATTAGGCAGTTATGCTTTTTTTTTTTTTTATAAACAGTTCTTAAGATTGTGTGAGCATGATGATGTGAGCACGGAAATATACCATCTGAGATGTTCTCATAGCAAAAAAGTTTTGAGAAAATCCTTACCATTAAGTAGGAATCTTTCTACAAAAGTGTCAGTTGTGGCTCCTGAACTTGCATTCTTTTAGTATCATGATATGAGGCCAGGGAGATGATACACAGGCACTGCAATTCCTGT